TTAATTAATTATCAATTAAACAATTGATAAATGAATTAATAAATTAAACAATTAATAAATGAATCAATTACCAACCAATTAACCAACTAACCAATTTATCTACTTCTTTAATTATTACTTTTGATTAACCAATTAACTAATTAAATAATTAACCAATAAACCTATTTATTTATTTATTTATTTATTTATTTGTTGATTTATTTATCCATTTATTTATCTATTTATCTATTTATTCTTTCCTTTAACTAATTAATTCATCAATTTAATTATTTATTTATTTTTATTTATTGTTTCTTTCCTTTAATTAATTAATTATTTATTTAATCTAATTTATTTATTTATTTATTTATTTATTTATTTATTTATTTATTTATTTATTTATTTATTTATTATTATTTGTTAATTCAGAAACAGCCCCAAACAGTGGCTACGGCGGAGTTGGACTTTTTGCATGCGGGAAATCATCCAGTTAATGTCCGCCAGTGGCTGGCCACGCATGTGGACCCGTAAGTTTAATTATTTTACTTATTTTATTTATTTATTTATTTCTAATTAATTAATTAATTAGATTAATTAATTAATTAATTAGATTAATTAATTAATGAGATTAATTAGTTAGTTAATTAGTTAGTTAGTTAATTAGATTAATTAATTAATGCGGACCCGTAAGTTTAATTTGTCTTATTATTTTATTTATTTTTCTCAAATTAATTAATTAATTAATTAGATTAATTAGTTAATTAATTAATGAGATTAATTAATTAATTAATTACTTGGATTAGTTAATTAATTAATGTATTTATTAGATTAATTAATTAATGCGGACCCGTAAGTTTAATTTGTTCCATTGATTTTATTTATTTTTATTTTTAATTAATTAATTAAATTGATTAGTTAATTAATTGATTAATTAATTAATTATACTAATTAATTAATGTGGACCCCTAAGTTTAATTTGCTTCATTTGTTTTATTAATTTTATTTACTTTTATAATTAGATGAAAGCATAAATCTAAAAGAGCAGAAAAATGACAAGGAATGGACTTTTGCTGGGCATTGTCGTGCTGCTGCTGCTGCTGCTGCTCTTGCTGCAGCTGCTGCTGCTGCTGCTTCTCCTGCTGCTGCTGCAGAGGGCGTTTCGTGCTGCGGATTGCAGACGACCACTTTGCTGCGGAGTTTTTGCACAAAGAAGAAAAGTGTTTTCCTTTTCAATTCTTTTTTCATGTCCATTCTTTGGAAAGCAAGGGCTTTCAGGTGTACATACACCCCAGACAACCCCCCCCGCCTCCTGCGCTTATTTTAATCATTTAATTAATTAATTAATTAATTAATTAATTGGTTAATTGATTAAATTAATTAATTAATTTAATTAATTACTGAACTAATTAATTAATTTATTTATTGAATTTTCTCCATCCTGCTAGTTTTTGCTTATTTAGTTTATTTCATTTTATGAAATGTTTTTCGCGAAATGGAAAAGAACGAAATCTGCAAAAGTCGCAACTATAAATTTTAAAATTTATTTCTTTTAAATCACTAAAAAAGCTTTTTGTTTAATTTATTTACATTTGTATTTGTATTCATATTCATATTCATATTTATATTTATATTTATGTTTATATGTATATTTATATTTATATTTATATTTGTATTTATATTTATATTAAATTAATAATTTAAATCTTTTTTGTTCAAAAAATATTTAAAATTTAAATTTCCACTTTTCGACTTTTGCATGCAGCCTTCTGTGGTGGCTATACACCCGGACCCCAGTGTGCCGATCAAGAAGGGACAGGACTTGTTGGTAATTAAATAAATTAAATTAATTAAATTAATTAAATTAATTAAATTAAATAAATTAAATAAATTAAATTGATTGAATTAATTAATTAAATTGATTTGAATTCATTTAAATGGATTTAAATCAATTCAAATCAGTTAAAATTCATTTAAAACGGTTTAAAGCAATTTGAACCCGTTTCACTGTCCTGCTGCTGCTGCTGCTGCTGCGCTGCTGCTGCTGCTGCGCTGCTGCTGCTGCTGCTGCTGCTGCAGCTGCTGCTGCGGCTGTCTGAGCCGCCCGCAATGGAAGAAGGCTCTTTAGCAGCAAAAGGGGCGTTGCGGCTGCTGGGGGCTTCTGGGGTGTACGTACACCCGGCGGCCCAAGTGAAGCTGGACAGCAACGAAGAAGCAGCAGCAGAAGGAGGATTAGTTTGGTCATTTTATTTTCCTGCTGCTGCTTTGGGGGCTTTAGGAGCAGCAGCAACTCTGCAGATTGACATGAAGGCAGCAAACGGGGTTCCCTTTTCTTTCGAGTGGCTCAGCCGCCAGCAGCAGCAGCAGCAGCAGCAGCAGCAGCAGCAGCTGCTGCAGCAGCAGCAGCTGCTGCAGCAGCAGCAGCTGCTGCTGCTGTTCGAGGAAGATGCTGCTCAGGGACAGAGACCCACACCCTGGAAAGGGGGGCCCCTGCCCCCCCCGCTGCCGCTCACGCAGCAGCAGCACGAGCTGCAGCAGCAGCAGCAGCAGCACCTGCAGCAGCAGCAGCAGCTGCAGCAAATTGACACCGTGGGATTCGTTAAACCCGAAAGGGATGTTGTCATTGACCCTTATAGGTTAGTATTCTTTCCAATCCTTGGTGCAGCAGCAGCAAATCCTTGCTGCTGCTGCTGCATTTGCTGCCGCTGCTGCTGCTGCTGCTGCACTTGCTGCTGCGTCTGTATCTGCTCCAGCGCTGCTGCTCTCTCTGCGGCGCAGAGGCGTCAGCCCAAGCTGAGGTGCATTGCTGCTGCTGCTGCTGCTGCTGCTGCTGCTGCTGCTGCTGTTGCTGCTGCTGCTGCTGCTGCTGTTGCTGCTGCTGCTGCAGCACGTGCTGCGGTTTCATCTTTGTTGCTGCTGCGGCGTCGACACACAACAATGCCGCTTCCGCTGCTGCTGCTGCTGCTGCGTCGACGCATAACGCTGCTGCTGCTGCTGCTGCTGCTGCTGCTGCTGCTGCTGCTGCAGGAACGAGTCTGCTGGTCTTTGGTGGTTATTTATTTTTTCGTTTTTGGGCATTGGCTCTCTTTGGCTGATTTCTCGACTCATTTTAAGAAGAAGGAGGGGCCCCCGAAAACGCCCTCAGGTCAGCAGCAAAGCCCCAAAATAGGCACAACCCATGCATGCATGCATCCCAGGGCATTCTGTCTGCATGCATACATTCATTTTGGGGGCTTCCTCTCTGCATGCATGCTTGCGATCTAAAGGTATTATATGTGTACATTTGTATGCATGCATGCATTCACGTTTGGGGCTTTCTCTTCGCATGCATGCATGCATGCATGCATGCACGCATGCATGCATTTTGGGGCTTTCTTTTGCATGCGTGGGGCTTTTGATGTGCAGAGAGACACGGAGTTTGGCCGCTTCGATTTGCTGAGGCTGGACGAGCGCCACTCTTCTGATTTCGATGATGACGTCTAGCTGCTGCTGCTGCTGCTGCTGCAGTTAGTGCTGCAGTTGATGACGTCTAGCTGCTGCTGCTGCTGCTGCAGTTAGTGCTGCAGTTGCTGCAGCTGCGGCTGCAGTTGGCGCTGCTGCAGCTGCTACTGTAGCTGCTGGTGCATTTCGCGCCTCCGCTGCAGCTGCTGCTGCAGCTGCTGCTGCTGCTGCAGTTAGCGCTGCTGCTGCAGCTTCTGCTGCAGCAGCAGCTGCTGCTGCGTTTGTATCTCCTACCGCCCTTTGCTTCTGCTTTTCTTGTCTTTGTCTTTTTACTTCATCGTGGCTTCTATGGGGCCCCCAAAGAGCCTCTTAAAGACCCCTTGGGGGCCCCTTGGGGGCCCCTTGGGGGCCTCTTGGGGGCCCCTTGGGGGCCTCTTGGGGGCCCATTGGGGGCCCCATTAGGCGGCTGTCAGGGGATTCTTGGGGGCCCCATAAGAGGCCCCTTGGGGGCCCTTTAAGAGGCTTCTTGGGGGCCCCCTGAATGCTCCTTGGGGTCCCCTTGAGGCATCGTTTAAGGGCCCTTTGGGGGCCCTTTGGGGGCCCCGTGGGGGCCCCTGGGGGGCCCCTTGGGGCCTCGTGGGGGCCCCTTGGGGGCCCCTTGGGGCCCCTTGGGGGCCCTCGTTGGTGGGTTTTGTCGGCCTTGAGTTCTGGGTTGACGCGTTGTGTTAGAGAAGTTGATTTGGCCAAGAGTTGCTGCTGCTTTATAATGGTCTTTTATGGATTTCGGAGGAGAAAAAAGAAATAAAATTAAATAAAAGGCAATTAAAAGGGAAAAAGAAAGAAAATAAAAGTAATTAAAAGGCAGCTGAAGACTTTTCATTCTTTTGGGGCTTCGGCTCTGAGGGGCCTCCGGGTGTATAGGCAGCTCCGGTGTCTGTACACCTCAGGCTGTTTTATCTTGCAGCAGCAAAGGGGCCCGGAAACTTCTTTATGTGGTTTATTTGCGCGCCAAACGCGAAACAAATTATTTAATTTAATTATTTAATTTAATTATTTAATTTTTTAATTTAATTTATTATTTATTTATTTAATTCCGATGTTTATTTCGCTCATTTCTGATTTGGCATTTTAATTATTATTTAGTTTCAATTCAGCATTTAAATGTTCTATTACTCTATTGTTATTGCTTTTCATTCATTTTATTTTATTTTCCTCTTCCACACCAAAGGGATATAAGAGAGCCTCATTGCTGCCGCGGCAACTGATGCTGTGTCCAGGCAGCAGCAGCAGCAGCAGCAGCAGCAGCACCGGCCGCAGCAGCAGCAACAGCAGCAGCAAAACTGAGCTGCTGCTGCTGCGCTTGAAGTCCGCGCCTCTTTTTGGCTAGCACGCGAATTAAGTGCACTTTGAAGTGTTAGCTTTCTCTTAAAACGAAATATTTTGGCAAATAAAAGAGCTTTTAAAAGCATTTGGGTCTTTATTTTGTTTAAATGCAAATAAAAGCACTCCCTGCAGCCAGCGAGCTGCCTATACACCCCAGCGAGCTGCCTATACACCCCAGCGAGCTGCCTGTACACCCCAGCGAGCTGCCTATACACCCCAGCTGTGCATGCACGCATGCATGCGCCGCCGGGGCGGCGTTATTGGCGGAATTTGTGGCAAAAAGCGGGAATAAAGTCGCCAAGAATGCAAATAAATGGAAATAGAAATAATAAAAGTCAAACGAAGCAGATCCCGGCGACAAAACGGCGAGGTGCGCGTACACCTGGGCGCTGTACGTACACCCGAGGTGTCAGTGCGCGCAGCTCAGGTGTACGTACACCCCAAAAAACGCTCAAAATCTCGCGTTCAAAATCGACCAAGGAGTTGTTCCCATTTTTTCCAAAGCCGGCGCCTCCGCCGCCGCCAGCGACTCCGCTGCAGCAGCTAGCCACAACCCCAAACACACTCTCAGCGCCCGCGCCCACGCCGCTGGCTGCCTAGCTAGCTAGCTAGCTAGCTACCTAGCTAGCTAGCTAGCTAGCTAGCTAGCTATAAAGGGATAGATGGATGGAGAGCTAGCTAGCTAGCTAGCTAGCTATAAAGGGATAGATAGATGGAGAGCTAGCTAGCTAGCTGGCTAGCTAACTAGCCAGAAAGACGGATAAGCAGGTGGATGGATGGGAAAAGAGGTAGACATATACGTGGGCAGATGGCTAGCTAGCTAGCTAGCTATTTCGCTAGCTAGCGAGCTGGTTAGACGGATAGATAAACAAACGGACAGACAGCTACCTCGACAGTTAGTCAGACGGCTAGTAGCCAGCTAGCTATCTGGCTAGCTAGCTGGCTAGCTAGCTAGCTAGCTAGCTAACTAGCCACAACATAGACAACTCGCGAAGCCCCTAATCTATGTACTGAACTATTTAGCTGGCCAGCTGGCCAGCCAGCTAGCTAGCTGACCAGCTAGCTGGCTAACCAGCTAACCAGGAAGCTAATTAGCTAGCTACCTAGCTAGCCAGCTAGCTGGCTAACCAGCTAACCAGCTAGCTAAGTAACTAACCTAGCTAGCTAGCCAGCTAGCTAGCCAACTAGCTAGCCAGCTAACTAGTCTTTTCTGTTTACCTTCTAGGAAGTTCTGAACCGTCTCCCGCAGTGCCTGCAAGTTGCCCGTGTTATACCATGAGTCCAAAGTGGAGCGAGCGAGTCGAGCCTGCAGCAGCAGCAGCAGCAGCAACAGCAGCAGCAGCAGCAGCAGCAGCAGCAGCAGCAGCGGAAGCATGACGAACGGCAGCAACAGCAGCGGGAGCAGAAGCAACACCGTCAGAGGCAGCAGCTGCAGCGCAGATTAGGTCCTAAAAACCGAAGCAGCAGCAGCTGCTGCTGCTGCTGCAGCAGCAGCAGCGCGCGAAAAGAAATAAATGAAAAGAAAGAAGCAATCAAATTAAAAGTCTTACCCGCCTAACTGCTTGAAAAGCAAAACAGTGATGCAGCGCAACATCGCGGCCAACTGCGGGGTCCACGTCGAAGCGGATTAGCTGCTGCTGCTGCTGCTGCAGCTGCTGCTGCTGGTGCAGCAGCAGCAGCTGCTGCTGGTGCTGCTGGTGGTCCCCCAGTGCAATGCGTTGTCTACACAGGAAAAGAAAACAAAAAATAAAAAATTCAAAAGATCTAAAAGCAATTCTGTTGATTAATTAGTCTTTTATTTAAAACTTATTAAACGTTTAAAAATAATAAAACTTTTATTTGAAATTCATTTAGAACTTGCACATTAAAAGTAATAAAATCAAATTTTAAAAATAAAATTATTTCCAAGTTCGGAATTTATTTTTCCTTTTTTACTTCAACTTGCATGCGTATTTCGAAAGGTATAATTAATGGATTTGTTTACTTATTAGAAAAACAAATAATAAAACTATATTCATTTTATTTAATTATTTTATTTTTATTTTGATTAAATATAATAATCTATTATTAGATTTGGGCCAAGTTGCCTTTTTAAACGGCAACTTAATTAATTTAATTCAAATTTTAATTTTAAATAAATAATTAAACTTACGTTTTTAGCGGCAAAGCCAAAACAATTGTGTCGGGACCCTTAGACGCCCTCACCTAAAAAGCCCCAAACGCATGCATGCATGCATGCATGCATGCATTGGTGCATGCATTGGTGCATGCATGCATGCATGCATGCATTGGTGCATGCATTGGTGCATGCATGCATGCATGCATGCAGATACTGGAAACGGAGCCCCCTTCAAACCCTAAACCCTAAACCCTAAACCCGAAACGGCTGTTCAAACGCAAGAACGATGCAAAACCGCAAACCCTAAACCCCAAACCCTAAACCCTAAACCCTAAACCCTAAACCCTAAACCCTGAGGGGCTTTACCGCGACGCGATCGAGAGACTGTTCAATAGTGGCTTTCTCGGACGCAGCAGGATCTTTAATTTTATTTATTTTAATTCTTCCATTTTCATCAAAACTTATAAAGTCTTTCGGATAACGCAGCTCCAGCACGCCTGCAAACACCTCCCGCAATCTTAGGGTTTAGGGTTTAGGGTTTAGGGTTTAGGGTTTAGGGTTTGGAGGCTAGAATTCACGGC